CCTTCCTTCCTTCCTTCCTTCTTTCTTTCCTCTCCTTTATCCTATATACACATAGTAGAAATTTAAGCTAATTAATAGGGAATTAGATGCACCGATTACCCAATATAGGGTAATCCCAAAGCATCTGTATGGCTAACAGTGGCTTACAAAATGAATGCTGATTATTTTTGTTGCATGTAGAACTTAAGCAACAGAATTATGTTTCCAGCTATGTTGGCTGCCAAAATTGATCATTAGCAGAGTAAACAGACCCCAGAAAGTTCTGTGTCTTATGGGGGATGTTAAACGTACAAATAAGGGCTTTTATTAGGTCAGCACTATTATTTTGTTTTCAAATGATTTCCTATTTCTAGAGATTTATATTGAGTTATTTGAACTCTGTATAATTAAGAAAGATATTTAACTGAGCTTAAGCTTACTTAAAGCAACCAAGCTCCTTTGGTCTCCTCAGTCTCAGGCTTCAATCCCCTCCCACTCGTGTCCATCCTACCTGGTGTAGAATTTTCTGTGAGGGAGAGGATGAAAACAAATTTAGATTTAGGGCCCCTTCCCCCGCCAATGGTCTACCTCATAGGCCTTTTCCTCCTTGCTTCTCTTTATCATTTTTCCAAGCATCAGTCCACTCAGAACGTTGGCCTCCTCTAGCACATTCCAGCATTTTGTGCCATGTTTATATCTGCATTGCATCAAGATTTTTCTTCCTTCTTCTTCTGCCCACACTTCTTCCCTCGCAACCATACCTTCACATACCCTAAAAAGTAGAGACTTCTTTTTCAACAGATTTCCCTGTAGTCATAACAAAGCCTATCTTGCCAAAAGGCCACGCAGCTAAAAATTTGTGCCAGACAATATACCTTACTCCCAAAAGCTGCTTTTTGGCAGCTGGTAGAAACACTGATTATTCATATCCACAGAAATCACGATGCCTGTGGATGATTTGAGGCTTCTCTCCCCAAGATGTGGATATGATTCCAAATAAGACGTTTCATCTGGATTTCCACATAAAGGAGATAATTGGAGGAGCATGGAGAGAAGCACCAGGCATTCAGAATGTTTGCTCTACATTATTTTCTGATATCTCTGTAATGTTCGACTTTTAAGTCTTAGCCTTTAAAAAAAATAACAAAATAAAGAATAAGCTTTGATTGACCATGCTAAAGCTACTTTAAATATGTTCTAAAATGGTGCTCTAAAACTTTCCCCACAACACTATTGACCTATGTGAGATGCAGGTACTTTAAGAAATGTTTCTGGAAGACTGTTTCTGAGGCAGTTTATGAGCTAAAGCCAAGGCTAAAGCATTGCTAAGGGAATCTGTTTCCCTGGGATACTAATTAACTCCAAATATTGCATATAAATTAAGCCCGCAGCTACTGAAAGGAGCAGCTTACAGGAGAGGAAAATCTGAAGAGGTTTAGAAGAAAAGTACTATCTTCTGATTAGAGAAAAAGGCATCAGGGACATGGGAGGAACCCTTTCTCTCTGACCCAGCATTCTCTTTTCTTTCTAGAAACTTCTACCCTTTACTCTTTCCTTTTGTTTTCCTTTCTCCACCATGGCAGGTGTGATTTATTGGATAACTGACTAGGGAAAGGGTTTCTTCCCCAAGGGACCTGTTCTCCCTTGTCTTTAATAAGGAAGCTGTTCTCTAGATAGAGCCCTCCGAGCTCTGTACTCTAACTCCTGGGCACAAGAATCCCAAAGTCCTCCCCTGGAGATTCTGACAGAGAGAGAGAGAGAGAGAGAGAGAGAGAGAGACAGCGAGAGAGGGAACACAAGCAGGGGGAGTGGGAGAGGGAGAAGCAGGCCTCCCGCCAAGCAGGGAGCCCAATGCGGCGCTCGATCGCAGGACCCTGGGATCATGACCTGAGCCGAAGGCAGATGCTTAATGACTAAGTCACCTAGGCGCCCCTCCCCTGGAGATTCTGACTCACTGGGTCTGGGGCAGGGCCTTGGAATCTGTGTGTTGCACAAGTATGATTCTTAGGAGCCAGAGTTTGGGGAACACTGCCTCCCCCTCTGAGAATAAGACACAGTTCCTGTCCCTGCATTGGAACACGTGCAGGTCTGAGGGGGGTAAATATGGTTCAGAAGGGAAGATGTTAGTAACTGAAGCTTGCAGCTAACAGCACCCCTTGCCAGACAGCTTTCCTTGTTGTGCTGCTAAATGGTTTAAGCTTAGTTGTTAGAATCAAGAGTTGCCTTTTTATTTTTAATGTGCAAATATAAGCTGATAAATCACTTATTTTAAGTAAACCTACCCGGTGCCTGACTTACTACTTTTAATCGGACTACAGTATAACCACTAGCTCAGCACCCTCGTCTGATGGCAGCACCCCTAATCTCGGGTTTTGTTTAGAACATGACCTTTTCTGATCCTCTGAATAACTTCAGCCAACCACTGAAAATCAGTGTTCCACAATCATTGGCAGGGAGGAAAATGGCCAAAATAAACACATCCCGGAACCTTCCACCAACCCAGTGTTGAAATGGGTTTGTATAGAACTCCACTGTGATCTAAGTCATCTCTTTTTCTTGTAACAGTCACCTGTCCCAAAAAGGACCGCAGGGCCATTTCTGCTGAGGCCTAAATGCACACATGTCATCCCTACAGCCTTCTGGAATAAATTAAAATACGTGTCCATTATTTGTGACTTTATCTGTGGTTTGAAAGATCAACCTCTTAGGCATGATCTGGTTGAAACTACAGACTATGAGTAGCCCAAGGCATTAATAGCCATCAGCATCGCCCATGTGTTGCTGAATGAAATGGCCTATTGTGTGTTTGCTATAAATAGCTTGTCAAGAATACAGAAACGGTAACACCACATCATGCCCACCTCCCCCTAACCTTAGGAACACTTATAGCAAGGGGCTGCTCTAAGAAAAGGCAAACATACCCTATGCAATAGCAGGATGTCTCTGCTCGTGAAATTACAAATTACTTCTGAGCGTCATGGTTCTGAATTTTATTTTTAAAACCTGACCTTGAGCTTAGTTATCAATTGTTAACTTCTATTTGATTGTATATAGCTTCTCATTTTCTCTTGACCCTTTTCACACATTTGCTTACATCTCTTGGCAAAAAAAAAAATTATTTGATGAAAACATTCTTGTAAGCTAGCTATTATTCAAGAACGGATTCTAGAAAGGTTTCTCTATTAGTTCTCTAGAGGGATACTTAAATTTATGTGGTTTTGAAGGAAATCATGAGGTGGGAGAGGAAAAGAACTTGTGTACGAGGGAAGTTTGTAAGGCATCGTTCATTTAACAAAGACAGGAATTCATGTGCAATGATCCTTGGCCAACCAACTAAGTTGACTCTTGAACAACACAGGGGTTCAGGGTGCAAACCCCCCTGCACAGTTGAAAATCCACATATAACTTCTGACTCTCCAAAACCTCTCCTAATAGCCTACTATTGACCAGAAGCCTTACTGGTAACATAAACAGCCAATGAACATGTTTCACATATAATATGTTTTATATACTGTGTTCTTACAATCAGTCAGCTAGAGAAAAGAAAATGTTAAGATAATCCTAAGGAAGAGAAAACATGTTTACAGTACTGTACTGTCTTGAAAAAAATCCACGTAGAAGTGGACCCGTGCAAGCACAGTCCCCTGTTGTTCAAGGGTCTCCTATATTTCCTTAGAATCTTGGTTTTAAAGAAGGACTCTGAAATGTCACTGCTTCCTGCAAAGTATGTGGAAGGGCACTGAATGATGATCGGGTACACAGTTTTGAGTCCAAGTAGGTTCTTGTCCTGATTGTTTGTGGGGATAATTTTGGATAATCATTTCCCTGCTCTGCTTCAGTTCTGTCTCCAGTCAAATGAGAGAACAAAAACATCTGTCCTAGCCCATACAGTAGCTCTGAGAAATAACTGTGCAGTTTGCCTCGAATACAGCAGAGCACGCTCCCATAGATGTGAACAAGTTCTCTATGTGTCAAGCAGTAAGGACAGTGTTACCAGGAACCTTAAGTCTTCCACGCAAATGAGCCAGGTCTTTACCTAAAAATTCAACTCAAATACTCAGATTCAAAAGATAGGGCAAGGAATTACACTCCAAAAGAAATGAGAAATGATCTAGCGTAGGCCAACATCCCCAAAAGGGAATGCCCTGAGAGAGGCTGGGACTCTGGCCACTGAAGCTACATCTACCACAGGATGTCCGTTTTCTAATAAAGCCAAATAAGAACCAACAGTGGCCCCATCATTCCATGGCCAAGCCCCCAGAAGTAGCAAAGCAATGCTCTGAATAATTCACAATAGTGAATGGCAGATAGAAATGCTCTGAGAGCTTACCTGCCTCACTTCTTGATTTCTTCCTCATTTCTTCTTGCAAAGTCAAATTATACACAAAAAGAACACCTCTTATTGATAAACATGTAAGCATCCATGGATACGTCTGTCAGACTCAATTACACTATTTAAGAAAGCAAGTTTACATTAAGACTGAGAGTCCATTTAATGCGTTATTTCTGGTGCATTTTTTTTCCTGCCAAGAATGAGAATAAGATAGAAGATGCAAAATAATAAAACTGGGAGACTGGAGTATAGAATGCAAGATAGATACAAATCTACACATAATCCTAATGCACCAAGAGATCTTGACAAAGATTTCATTCCAACTTGCTGCTCGTTTTGATGCAAACGTAGGATGTACCGTGGCCCAGAAGCCTACAGCCTCAAGGGGGCCGAACGCAGTCACCACGAGCTACTCTGTTAAGATTTCTATTTCAGAGTCAACATATGCCTTGGCAGCAATAATTGTTATGCTTAGTGCAGGTAAACCAAGGAAAAGGCCCTTTGGAAAAATACAAAATATTTACCTAGCAACTCCTAGTGAGCAACATGTGCGCTGCATATTGATGAGTGATAGCCTATGGTTGTGGAAAATTCACTACCAAAGAAAAACAAGCAGGGCATATTACAGTGAGTCTACAACATGCCTTTCCTGCTCAGTACAAGAGAAACCTACTGCCCGGAAGATAATGAGCCCGATGGCCTGACAGCAGTGATGTGGCAGGCTGCTGTTCTTCTTTTGCCCCCAAAATAAAAAGTAAAATAATAACACAGGTGAATATTCCAGTGAAACTCCCGTCGGATTCAAAACTCATCTTCAGAGCTGTCGGCTAAGAGCATGACTCGGTCTTGCATGCTGTTGAATTCTCTCTGCTGGAGAAAGAAAAACAGAAGAGTGTTAAACCCTTTCCACTGCAGAGCAAAACAGGCCCCTTTAAAAAAAAAAAGGCACCCCAACACACACAGCCAAAGCCCAGCAGCTAATCCAAACCACTGGGCGTGTCAATACCATGCCTGCCTCATTAAGCCCCGTGTGCTTTATTAAGCAAATTGGAAAAGCGAGGCATGTTCTGAAGCAGATGAGGTTTTGCTGTTGTGGGCTCCATACCTTTCTTTTATGCCGTTTGAAGCCGTTTCTCCTTCGGCGATTCATAACCTTAATGCTGTAGAGCGCTCCCAAGATGAACAAGGCGCCGGCTATCCCGACCCCTACAGGAACCAGCATTCCAGACATGTAGCCAGCCTGCACAGAAAAGGAGACGCCCAGTAGGATGCTAAATAGACCGCGGCCCTGGGTTTCTCATTTTTGCTCGATGGCAGCAGGTTTTTAAACACCTGGAATCCTCCTATTTGCTTTGTCATAAAATAGCACCTAGCATGAAGGCACGTTTTAGGGAGAAGGCAAGAGAGAGAAAGGTATGACTATTTTTGGAAAGTTCGAGTATTTAGAAGAAGTACTGAAATAAATCACCCAGACCTCGTGGCACCTCCAGCCACTTGCTTATGCACATTTGTCAACATCAGGGTTTGGTGGCAGAAATATAATTTGTATTAAAGATGGGTGAAGTAAGCTTCTGAGAATGCCAAGACTATTAAAATGCTATAAGTCGGAAATATCAGCATGAGACAAGCTCCAAGGGGGCTGAGGGGAGGGCCTTGACATTGGTGGTCTGCTGTCTCACAATCTCAGCTGCATTACAGTAAGAAAGGGAAGAGGAAGGATGCCAGATGTTGGGGCATAGACAGAAAAGACAAGGAGGAGAGAGGGTATGCACATAACATGGGATTTATATGAAAGGAAAAATCTGCCCAGTGGACAAGACCAAAGTTGGGGCTTGGGAGGGAATTCTGGGCATCCCCAGAGAAGTGGCCGAGCAGGGTGCAAAGATCACTGTCAGCAACAGTAGCGCCTGCAAAAGAACCTGGAGGTATCTGGTATCTGGTGTGTCTCCAACGTCCCCAAGGTGTCACTATGGATACGTTGGTTCTAAGTGAGCAGCATGATGTCCACACATCCCTGGGCTTAGGTAAGTAGCTCCGGATCATCCCAAGCTCAGGTAAGGCCGTCATACTAAAGGTGCTCTCTGCATCTTGGCCAATATGACACCTCAGGGCCTAGAGCATTATGTACTTACCTGGAGCCCTTTCACAGAGGAATATGAGACTGGTTTGCCTTTGAAGAAGGCCCCTGCTAGAAGCCTACCCAGACAAAATACATAAAACATTAAAATTTTTAGACTTTAGATAGGCATTATTCAGGGGTGGGGGGGGAACCCATGAGTCAGTTTGTCCATTTATTTGACTATTTCTAAAATTTCTAATATAGCACAAACTATTTCTAGTACCTTTCAGAATGAGCCAAAATCAGAGAAGGACAGAGAATAATGTTTTCTAAAAAGTGCTGAAGTATGCAGACTGATGCTTTCCCAATGTTTCCAAAAGTAAATCAAAGGAATACACGAGCCCTTTATAAAACTACAGCTCCCTCTAGCACACAGACAGCTCACTCACTGGTTCTGTTTTCCAGAGTCTTGTGTTAGAGCAGATTATGGACATTTTTCCATTAATTTGAGAACAACAGCATTGTTCATCAGCATATTAAGTGTTTTTCTCCAAGAAACAAAGCCCAGTCACTTTTCAACAAATTAATATGCTTTGCAGAAACCCAAACTTTTTCTAAAGTCCTTCCAGATCTACTTAAGGCTTATAAAACTGTAATTTCCCATATGGGAAAATACTGGACAATAGCAAAGTTTTGGTACTCTCATAAGAGCTGTGAATATATTTCTTTAAACCATCACTCCCAGTACATGGAAACGAATGTACGTATTGAAATGTGATCAGCTTTAAGCCCCGTAGATTACTCTAAAGAGGTATACATTCAAAGGATGATACTTGAGCTGTTGGAAGTTCAGCTTGATCAATCTCTGTGTGGGTCTCCTCGTGCTGTGTAACCTCACCCACACCCAATAGCATGACTATTCCAAAACGTGTCACTCTTTCTCATACTTCTTATTTACACATTTAGATCTCTAGTTCCTAGAGCTTTAAATCATGCAGATTTCACCAAAATTCAATTAATCTCTCTCTCTCTCCTCTATTTTGTCCCCTTGTGTGTGTGTGTGTGTGTGTGTGTGTGTGTGTGTGTGTGATCTGCCTGTGCTTTGAAATTATAATTAAAAAATGGGATCCAAGTAATCTCTCCTCTTCCAATATATTTTAACCATTCCTCTTTCAACACTAATGGAGGATAGGCTCTTCTTTTAGAATTGGCCATGACTTGGAGCGCCTGGGTGGCTCAGTCAGTTAAGCATCTGCCTTCGGCTCAGGTCATGATCCCAGGGTCCTGGGATTAAGCCCTGCATCACATTTGCTCCCTGCTCAGTGGGGAGTCTCCTTGTTCCTCTGCCCCTCCCCCCTCTCATAAATAAATAAAATCTTAAAAAAAAAAGAATTTCCCATGACTTGTTTCCTACACAAATAAAAACAAATTAGACTCATGAACATATTTTCTAAGTTATAAACCCTGCCTAGTACCTCTTCTCTGTTCAGAATCATCAGACATACATGTACCTTCACAGATAACACGCTGAGAAGGACATAGCTGCACCTGGGTATATTCCAAGTGAGAATGTGTAACTTGAATCTCATCATGAGGAAACATCCAACAAACCTAAAATGAAGACTATTCTATTTTTTTAAAGGACTATATTCTTTTAAAAGTCAGCATCGGGAAAGACAAAAAATGGCTATAAAAATGTTCCAGAGTATAGGAAACTAATCCATGACAACTAAATGTGTTACATGACCCTAGACTAGATCCTACACTGGAGAAGAAAAATGCTTTTAGAAAGGTATTTTGAGTCTGTTGAAAAAACTGAAATATGGATACCAGATTTGATAAAAAGTACTGTATCAATGTAAAATGTACTCAAGCTGATAACTGCAGCATGTCTGCTAACGGAATATTCCCATTCATAGGAAATAAAGCATTTGGAGTAAAAGCACCATGGTATATGCAACTTTTCCTCAAATGGTTCAGGGAAAAAAAAAAAAGGCAGAGATGGGCAGACAGACCAGCAAATGATAAACCAAATGGGGTAAAATGTTAAAAACAAGTGCATCTGGGTAAAAAGTATTGGGGCATTCTTTGTACTTATTCTTGTATCTCTTTTTTGTAAACTTGAAAATAGTTCCAAATAAAAAGTTTTGCATTTTTAAAATCGATTGTAAGTCAAAATATGACTAGATATAGTTCTTTTTAGTTTATGTTTGTGTTGGGTTTTTGTTCGCTTTGTATTACGTTCATGAGAAAGGTATTCTTCCTTCTTAGAATAATGTATTCATTCAGAAACATCTGTTTTCAAGAAAGGTATAAGAAAACCAAATGAGATGCTGTACTGTCTCGAGTCTGCTGAGTTAAGACAGTGCCTTTATATTGCTTTGTAACAGTGGCTCTCAGACTTGAGCATCTATCAAAATCGCCTACAAGACTTGTTGAAACAGATTGCTGGGCCCCGTTCCCAGAGTTTCTGACTCAGTAGGTATAGCGTGGGGCCCAAGAATTGCATTTCTAGCAAGCTCCCAGGTGATGCTGACACTGCTGGTCCAGACCACACTTGAGAATCAGTGCTATGCAATATAGTCTGGATCATCCATTTTCTAGGTTATTTCCTAACGCCAGAAGAAACAGAATGATCTTGGTGACATAACAACAGGGTTGGTCTTTACTAAACAACTAAAGCTGCTATGCCTCTTCAATTTTGAGAAACATTTTAGATGTTGAAAAGACATATCAATAGGTAGCCAAGTTAGGATTTGCCTAACAAGCATCACTAACTTGGACATTAAGCCAGAAAGAAGAGTAATGATGGAATGAGTATAGGGACTGTCCCTCTGTGGCCATTCACCTCTTCTTTCAGAGCAAGAGAACCTCCCATTTCAGCTGGGTGCACAGTAACGATCACTGCTCCCTGCCTTCTCTGCAGCTGGCTGCGACCATGTGATAAATCTCACTCAGAAGAGAATACATTAGTGGCAGGTTCAGCTTCCCGACATGCTCTTCAACAGGGGAGCCCAGCCTTTATCCCCCACATTTTGAGAATAAGAGTGCCTTTATCTTCCCTTTTAAGAGGGAAGAGGTGTCTTCACCTTCCCTTATCCTCCTTCCCCTGGCTAGAATATGGACCTAGTTAAGCTGGAACTGCCATCCAGGACCTTGGGAATGAAGGTCACAAATGGTGGAACATCAAATACAAGGAGCCTGAGCCCCTGTCAGAGTGTTGCTCCCCATTAACCCTTGACTGCTACCTCCAGATTCATAAATGAGAGAAAAACTTCTATCTTGGTTAAGCCATTGTCATTGGGGTTCTCTGTCATTCATAGCTGATCTTAATCCTAGCTAATATAGAAAGACTAAACAACAGTAAAAGTATTAATTCAGAACTTTTTAAAGTTTTTTAAGATTTTATTTATTTGAGAGAAAGAGCATGCGTGCACAAGCAGGGGGAGGGGCAGAGGCAGAGGGAGAAACAGACTCCCCACTGAGCAGGGAGCCCGATGTGGGACTCGATCCCAGGACCCTGGGATCATGATCTGAGCCAAAGGCAGATGCTTAACCAACTGAGCCACCCAGGTACCCCCAGAACTTTTTAGAATATTTTTCTTTCTAGAGCCAAACTAACTAACAGAAATACCAATATCAGGTACAATTGAATAATGCTAAACTGAGATGTCGTGGTTGGCCAAAGAGCCAGTTAAATAAATATTTAGTTTCCAGTTCTAAGGGATTCTGTGACTTTCACCAAAGAGGCAATAGTTTCGCTCTCAAATAGTTTCTGAAGATAATGACTAACAAGACTTTTATAGATGAGAGCCAACTAGCTAGCTAGCTAGATACATGAAGGGGGGAAGCGAGAGAGGAAGATACATATATGTACACACGTATGTGTGTGTGCACATATGAAGGCATGTCACAGGTAAGTGTAGAATATTTTACACAACAGGGGAAGTGGGGATATGGGAAAGATTATAGTAAGTCCCTCCAAGAAAGTCAAAATATGAAGAAATAAGGCATCAAATAAGCCAAACACAGAATCTCAACTATTTTTCTTCTATTTTTTTTAATTAAGACATACTGAAAAAATACTCCAGAAGAAAATAGAGAGAAAGCTGGAAAAACTCAAAATAATCCAGAAAACTAAGGTCACACATAAAATTATTTCTCTTGGTAAAAATGGTGCCAGGCCTTTGAGACAAGATAAGAAGGGTCTACAGAAATAGAAAATACAGACTTTCTAAAGCTGCACAGATTTTTTTTTTTAATTGTGGCAAAGCTATCTATAGATACAGGTAAGAAATTTTGCAATATCCAACTTCAAAACTGGTGACATGTAAACATTTATTCTCTTAAGGGTTTTCTGGTACACAATTTTACTCAGAGGATATTTTCTATAGAAGCAATGATATATGGGTTCCTAAATTATTCTACCAAAGCCTATTTCCTTTTCATTGCATCCTATTTTCTTCTGAAAAATAACAAGCACTACTAATATAAGTGTGTTCAGTTCTTAACTTTTGAGCTTTATTTCCCCCAAATCCTGCTCAGTCCATCCGATCATACCTCCCTTAGACAACTGGACCTGTTACAGATACCAAAATGGCCTCCACTAACCTCAACATGCTTAAAATTTTTCAACATCACTTTTAATAAGTATGACCACAAAACAGTCTATTCTCAAAAACCGTGTATGCTAAATTTTACTGAGAAGCACAAAGATAGTAATGAGAATTAATATAATCTTACAATTTTCATTGTAATTTATTCTTTAACAATAAGCTGCAGCAAAATAAATATTAATCATCCAAATATGGGGAGAACTGACTCCAAATAATAAAAAAGATATGGAATACCATCAACAGAAGTATATATTGGGACTGGTGATTTAAAGGTAACTCAATATGTGGCAATTGAAAAGATTTCCATTCACTAAACCCCCAGTTAAATCTGAGCTGGGTTATAGTAATGAGATCTGACACAGGCTACAGCAAGGAATTCAGAATTCCATCAATATTTTTATAAGTAATTCCAGTTTAAAATTCTAAGGTAACCAAAAAATGTAAACTTGGAGAGTGTTGAAAATCAAAAGAAAATGAAAAATAGGAACCTGGAAGGGAGTTAATATTGTCAATCACAGACATAGATGGCAGAATTAACGCAAGAGAGAAATATTTGTCTATCGTTGGCCATTCCAGGCAAGGCAGTCCTTTGTCACCCAGTATGTAGAAGTACTATGAGAGACTACATAAAAGTTGATCTAAGGAGAGTGCTCAGGCGTCCAGGTATTTTTACTCCAAACCACCCCCACTATGGTTTAAGGATGCTCTTTCCATCCCAAACTTTTATTCTTAACTCAAGTCCATCAATTGCCTTTGGGTCAGAAGAATCAATGCTTTCCAAAATCCAAGGTATTTCTTCCTCATACAGGAGGATCAGGCTTACAAGAACCTGGCATTGGGTTTTTGGCACTGGGACAAGAAATAGCCAAATAAATTGGGATTACATTGCTGATCCCTAGAAGAAACTCCACCTTGAAATGTCAAGGATATTTTCCAGCTGAGCATAGCAGATAATGCCTTCATAAGAAGGAATGGTGCTCCAAAGAACAAGGTTCCCTTGTGTTATACAAGAAGGAACTTAAAGGGAAGGTCTTCCTTCTTACTGGGCACCTGGAAGTGGCTTTGCATCTTTGCACAGATGACCAGAATCAGAATGATGAATTAAGGCTCCATTATTCTGAAGATCTTTTATTTGACAAAGCCATGCCCTTTAAGATAAATCCAAAGCAAGAAAATACTTCTCTTACCTTGTCTTTTAGTTTTTCCATCCAGCTTCTCACTAGGGAAAGTAAGAGAATAAAATGTAAATATCCATCTTCTTACTTATATTTCATTGAGTTAAATTAATTCGATAAGTTACATTTCATGATATTAAGTTAATTTGATACACTGGTTTTATTGTATGAAATGTAGTGAAAGGGTCAACAGTATTAACAGTAATAGTGACAGTATTAGTCTTGTTTTTATTCTCATTTGTTTAAAAATGCAACAGAAAGCACAAACGTATCCCTCATATCATCATTAGGTGAACAGAGAATATTTTTTATTTGTTAAACATATGTGTATTACTATTTAATGCTTTGGGGGAGGTCTGGGTAAGGAGATAGGAAATCACCTTTAAAGTATCAGGTTCATTCCCAACCCATGTACCACCAAATAAATAAATAAACTAATCAATTAATTTATTAATTAATTATCAAGTTCATTTCTTATGAACTTTTTCTCCTTAACGTTACTCATCTTTCTCAGTTTTTAAGCTCAGTGGGTATTCTGCACTTGAATCAATATCCCAGCAAAGTAAGGTAGGAAGGGGCAATGGGCACTGGCTCCAAAGAGAAGCATTTGCATCCACAGTTGAAGAAAAAATTTTGACCAAAGGCAAAAAGAGGAAGTATTTCTGCAATACATATAGCTTATAAACTGTACCATTCCATCACAATACAATCACTATAAAAAAATAAAGGTAATAATCAAGTAACAGTTTAAAAAGCCACTGAAAAGGACTACATCAACCATGAAATGTTAAGTAGACAATTATTACAACCATTTGGAAGTACATATGCTGAGAACATAACAAGTATCATTCAAAATGAACATGTTAGAATGGCCATGGGTTTCTTTTCTTTTCTTCTTTTTTTTTAATTTAAATTTTATTTAGTTAACATATAAGGCAATATTGGTTTCAGGAGTAGAATTCAGTGATTCATCACTTACATACATCACCCTGGGCTCATCACAAGTGCCCTCTTTAATACCCATCAGCCATCTAGCCCATCCGCCACCCACTTCCCTCCATCAACCCTCAGTTTGTTCTGTATCATTAAGAGTCTCTTATGGTTTGGGGCACCTGGGTGGCTCAGTCAGTTAAGTGTCCAGCTCTTGATTTTGGCTCAGGCCATGGTCTCAGGGTCATGAGATCAAGCCCTGAGTTGGCTCCACACTGAGCATGAAGTCTGCTTAAGATTCTCTCTCCCTCTGCCTCTCCCACTCTCTCTCACTCTAAAAAAAAAAAAAAGAGAGAGAGAGAGAGTCTAATGATTTGTATGGCCATATTAAGGATAGTTTGAAGTTAGTAATGGGGTTCTTCAACCTTAATTGCCTTTTAAAGTTATAATAATGATTTAGCTTTGAATAAAAATTATATTTTGGAAAGCATGGAAAAGGAAAAAAGAAGACAAATATTATCAAAGAAATTAGTAAGCCAACAAAAACCTTTCAAGATTTCCTTAAATTTCCTTTCCTGTCCAGGAGCTTCAACAGATAGAAAGAAAGGACACAGAGTGGCAGACCTAGAAACACCGCCCAAAAAGTGTAGACAAGGGATTGGCAAACTTGTAAAGAGCCAAATAGTAAACATTTTAAGCTTTGCAGGCCAAACAATCTCTGTCACAACTACTCAACTCTGCTGTTGCAGTGTGAAAGCACTCATACTACATAAATTAATGGATTTGGCTATATTCCAATAAATGTTACTTATGGACATTGACCTTTGAATTTCATGTAATTTTCATAGGTCACAAATATCTTTCTTTTGATTTTTTTCAACCATATTAAAATGTAAAAGACATTCTTTGTTCATGGGCCATACAAAAATGGGTAGCAGGCCAGACAGGTGGGTCCACGGGTCACAGTGGGCTGACCCCTGACACAGACAGTTGGGTCTCCATTTACAGTCTGACTCTAGTAATTACATATTGACAGGCGTGATGCCAGCCCACAGGTGTACATGGCTTGACCCCTGACAGAGCAGGTTCGAATCTACTGCATCACTTGATCCCCAAACCAAAAACAAACATAAGAGTGAGGGAAGATTATGCTCCAGGAAAAGGTGGGGAAACTGAGACTCAGAGAAGCTAAGAGACTTGCCCATGGTTAACCAGGGAGTAAAGAGTCACTGGAATTCCAACCACTATCTGATTTAACAACCTACAGGAATAATACTTCTTAACTACCCATTTCTTTTGGTGATACCCCCACTCTCCTGCTCTCTCAGGTTGAAAATGTGGAGCTACCCTCCTTGGGCTCTTCTATCTCCTTCAGTCAGTGGCTTCAATCTCTTATGTCAAGATCTTGGCAAGACCTCTCAGCTTTGTCCTTCCTTCATCACTCCTTCTGTCTCCACTGGGATTCAGGCAAAGATAGTGGTGTACAACCAAGATATGACCAGTCATGGGAAGGTCAAAAGAAGAAAGCGCAGGAACCTTAGAAATGAGCCTAGGGGTTAGTGCCTCCATGGAGAAGTGAAGCTCTGGAGAAATTATTGAACCTCTGGGACCCTCAGTTTCCTTATATGTAAATTGACTGTGGTAACACCTGTCTTGCAAGATGTTGTGAAGACTGAAAATAACATGGGCCATGTGCTTAGGACAGTACTTGGTGTAGAGAAATATTAAAACAAAAACAAGAAACCTGGAACAGAAGGAGACAAAGACAAGAGAGTCATAAATATTTTAACATGTCTCAACTAAGCCCAAGACATAAACTGAAATTCAATCAAGAGAATGCTTCCAATTCATTGATTCATTCAACAAATACTTATTACGTACATTGTGTTGGCCAGGCACTGTGCTCTACACTGGGGTCAGCAGAAGGTATGGGGCCTGGGGGGCGGAGAAAGATGGCAGAGGAGTAGGAGACCTGGATTTTGTCTGGTCTCAGGAATTCAGCTGGATAGGGCTCAAACCATTCTGAACACCTATGAACTCAACAGGAGATCGAAGAAAAGAATAGCAACAACTCTCTGAACAGAAAATCAACCACTTTCTGGAAGGTAGGACGTGTGGAGAAGTGAATCCGAGGCGATATTCGGGAGGATAGTCGGCGGGGGAGGGGGCCTCCATTGGCCGCTTCTGGCAAGTGATAGAGCCCCGGAGCACAAAATCAGAACTTTTAGAAGTCAGCTCCACTGAGGGACGTCACTCCAGTGGCTAAGTGGGGGGTGGAACCCTCGTGGGACAGTGTGGTCTCAGGACCCTCGGGGTCACAGGAAGACCGGGGGTGCCTGAGTGTGGCAGAGCTACCAGGTATCAGAGCGGAGAAGCCGGCTGCAGAGATGGAGCCGAGGAGTGGGCTCTCAGCTCAGGGTTGCCATAAACCATGATCCGTGGCATAGTCGGGCCACTGCTCCTCCAGCAGGGACCCAACAAGCAGCAGATCTGGGGAGACTCCCCTTCCTCCCCCGGGGAGGAGCAGCACGGGAGCGCACTGCAGGGATCTCCTGGGTTTGGAGAGTCCACACGGGGTTGGGTGCCAGAGATAGAAATGCTCAGTCATGGGCCGGGTGAGCATGGAGTGCGGCCGGAGACCGGGGAGAGGGGAGTGACTGACTGCTTTTCTCTGGGGGCACACAGGAGTGGGGACCCAAGTTCTTGGCTCCTCCAGGGCCGAGATTGGGAGGTCACCATTTCACTCTCTTCCTCCAAAGCTGTGCGGAAAGCTTGCAGGGAACAAAAGCTCCCAAGAGCAAACCCGAGCAGATTACTTAGCCCGGACCGGCAAGGGCAGGGCAATTCCGCCTCTGGCAAAGACCTCTGGGAACCACGGCAACAGGCCCCTCCCCCAGAAGATCAGAAAGAACAGCCAGCCAAGATCAAGTTTACTGATCAATGAGAACGGCAGAACTCCAGAGCTAGGGGAATACTGCACATAGAATCCCTGGCTTTTTTACCATGATTCTTTAGTCTTTCAAAGTTAATTTTTTTAACTTTTTTTTTTAATTTTTCTTTTTCCCTTTTTCAACCATCTTATCAATCCCTTTTTAAAAAACATTTTTATTTTTCATTTTTAGAGTCATATTCTAACCCTTCATAGTAGTTACCCTTATTTTTGGAATATATATATAAGTTGTTCTCTTTTTAAAACTGTGAGATACAGTTTCTTCTAAAGATCAAAATATACCCTAAATCTCTAGTGTATGGCTTTGTTCTAGTCTCCTGCCTGATCACATTCTCTCCTTTTTTTTCCTTTTCTTTTTAAACCTTTCTTTTTTCAAACAACTTATCAATTCCTTTTATAAAATTTTTTATAATTTTAATCTTTACAGTCATATTCCATCCCTTCATCATATCAACCCTTATTTTTGTACATATATAAGTTTTCCTTTCTTTTAAAATTTTAGGAGGCACTTTCTTCTAACAGACCAAAATACACCTAAAATCTAGTGTGTGGCATTGATCTATGCACCAGCCTGATGATATTTGATCATATTCTGGTTTTTTGTTTTGTTTTGTTTTGTTCTGTTTCTGTTTGTTTTTATCTTTTTCTTTTTCTTTTATTTTCTTTTTCTTTTTTCTTTCTTTCCCTTTCTTTTCCCCTGGTTTCAGGTTTTTTCTGATTTGTTTAAAGTATATTTTCTGGGGATGTTGTTACCCTGTTAGCATTTTGTTCTCTCATTCATGTATTCTCCTCTGAACAAAATGACAAGACGGAAAAAATCACCTCAACAAAAGAAACAGAGGTAGTACCGACTGCCAGGGACCTACTCAATACAGACATTAGTACGATGTCGGACCTAGAGTTCAGAATCATGAGTTTAAAGATACTAGCTGGGCTTGAAAAAAACATGGAAGATATTAGAGAAACCCTTTCTGGAGAAATAAAAGAACTAAAATCTAACCAAGTTGAAATAAAAAAGGCTATTAATGAGGTGCAATCAAAAATAGGGGCGCTAACTGCTAGGATAAATGAGGCAGAAGAGAGAATCAGTGATATAAAAGACCAAATGATGGAAAATAAAGAAGCTGAGAAAAAGAGAGATAAACAACTACTGGATCACGAGGG